TTAATATCTAAATGCTGCTGCAGTAACAATGCTACACGAGATGAAAAGGTTCTAACACTTCTAAAAACAAGATTACGAACACTTCTAAAAACCACCCTTAGGGCAAAATGTAACAGACAGTAGTTCTTGACAAGGGTGCTGCAAAACCCCCTCAGAACTGCTGTGGCAGCAGCCAGGTAAAACTGCCCTGTGCATAACCCCTACTGCATTAGGACACTGATCATCAAAAAGCAGGCAAGAGGAGCTGGCTTAGGTTGCAGCCCTGCCCTTCACTTCCTTGGGAGGCCCACGGGACAGTTCCATGCACATGCCTCTGTTTCTGGGAGGGGGGAAGAGGGCAAGGGAAGTGGTGACAGAAAAGGCCCACAACCTGAGCTAACTCTTGCCTGCTTGAGGCTGCAGAAGGATGTTCCCGTACCAAAGGCCTTCCCAGGTTAGATGTGCAGCAGGTGTGGGGTAGTTTTATCTGGAGACAGTAGCACCGGGTTGAGAAGCACTGAGGTAAGTTGAGGCAGCACCAACAGTGGTTCATACCCGGGGAAGCTGTCATGATCAAAAAGAGCTCGGTAGGAGTGCCATGACTCTAAAAGGGTTCAGAAGCACTGCATTTGAACGTAATTCTTTCTGTTGCATACAATACTAAACACATCTAAAAAGAAAACTAGTTCCCTTTTCTTCTATTTACCAGAATATATCTGGATATACATTTGTATACACCTATATAAAGCATCTGCGATCTGTCAGCAATAAATCCCTGCCCATCTACCCAAATGTACATCAATTATATTTTTAAATTTTTAAAAATTTAAAAATGGATATTCTGTTCTTTAGAACCATTTTACAAAATTGAAGTATGCTAAATCAAAAGGAATGAAAATAAATGTGCTTTTTGGATGTAATAAATCTAGGAGCAGCAACTGTAATCAGTTCCTACCATTGTTTCTATACACCTACAGATGTACAGTTGGTGATCTTCAGGGATCTGTGTTTTCCGTTTGCCATAGAAAAACATGGATTTTCTCATTTTAAGGAGAAAAGTGCAGATTTTCACCTTTAAAGGAGAAAAACATGGGGAATGGCCCATTTTCCCTTGCAGGCTGGAAGAGTTCCAGCCTGCAAGGGGTTGGGGGAAGCAGGAGGGCAATCAGGCAGCCCTCCTGCAGCTAAATCGGGGGGAGGGAAGGAATTGAGGCCTCCATAATGAAGAGAAGAGAGGGAGGGAGGGAGTTGGGCAGGACTGGGGCTGCTGCCCAGCTGGGGTGGTGCATGGGGGCCAGACCCAGAATGCACAGCCACAGGGCCCAGGCAGGGAGTGGGACAGAGCCGTGAGTGGCTCATCCAGGGGGCAGCAAAGGAGCTGGCTCCTTGCCACTGCGTACACTTCCATGAGGAGGGCATGGGGGCCACATGCTCCCCAGATTGGTGCACGGGGTAGGGGTGGGTGTGTGCTGCCCACTGTGGGCTTGGGGCTCCCTGCCTTGCTGCCCTCCCCCTGGGGCCTCTGCAGCCCAGCGGGCAGGACTGGTACAGCAGGGCAGGGTGATGAGGCTCAGTGCCACCTCCGGGAGCCCTGAGCCACCATGGCGAGATGTCCCCTGCCTGCCCAGCAGCAGCAGCAGCGGCACAGCAGCACTGAAGTTGTTTCCCCTGCTGCTGTTGGGCAGGGATGGGGCACCTAGCCATGGCGGCACAAAGCTCCCAGTGGCAGCACCTAGCTTTCCCGCCCCACTCTTCCCTGTGGGTAGGGAGGGGCTGTGGGTGGGTAGTGAGGGACACTGACAGGGCTGGGGGTGTTGTGGGTAGGGAGTGAAGGGCACCAGCAGGGGTGGTGGGCCATGGCTGGAACTCTGCCAACCTGCAGGGAGCTCATTGCAAAATCCACGGGTTTCTCTGGTAAAACAAGAAACCCGCATTTGCCTCCGGTAAAAGCTAAAATCTGCGGTTTACTCCATTTTTCCATGGGAAACGGAAAAACCGGATCCCTGATAATAACATACTAACTGTTCCGACTTCACCAAGACTATTTATATAAATGAGGAATTTAGGTCTGGCACCAATGTGTTATCGCAGAAAGTGTTACTCATCTGACACTTGGACTATTTGAGCTGCTCACAAACTACTTTGAGGAACTGAGTATTTGGTACAAGGTTATAGCACAGAATCAAGTCTCCTCTGTTCATTCCATTTGAGCAAACTCTATACTAAAGGTATTTACTTAAACTATAGTTACAGCTTTCTCCTTAGATTATATCAGTATAGGGCCTATTATTTTGGAAATTACTACTTGTAACAAGCCAAAACATTCTGTCTGGGAAGAACTAATTAAGTAAGGCTTAATCCAAACTCAACTACGAAGCTGAGCTAGGAATTTATGTACTGAGCTCTTTAAAGCAATCTTACTTATTACTTCTTTTCATCAGGGGACAAATACATACTAAGCTGGTCTCAACAGTCTGAATTCATTAAAACAAAAAACTATCTGGAAAAGTGCCAGTAAAACTCTAGGAGTATGAACAGATGCTGCATCTGTTGCAAAACAAATGTTTTTGTCCTGTGACAAAATAAGAGCATACATACATCCCCCCAACCCATGACAAAACCAGTTAAAAGCACACTAGGAAGAAGGTGGATACCACCTCACATGTGACAGACACAATATTAGAAGTGGTGAGGGACTCTAAGGACTACATCATAGCTGCACTGACCCTTGCAAACAGAGAGAAACGTGGAAGCTCTCCGGGTATCTCTTAGTGTTCTGGACAAGCACTGCCAACAGGCTTCTGGCCTGCCATGGCTTCCAGTTCCCACTGCCCACACCCATATCCATTCCACAATCCCAGGTTATGCAGTGGGGCTGTGGCCAAGCAGGGCGGGAAGCCCCAGCAGCTGTTGGCCATTCTACAGTTCAGGGCAGTGCCTCACAGCTGTTGTCAGAAGCATCAGCCACCACCACCACCAAGAGAAGAGCTCCACCCCCCAGCAGAGCAGTCAGGTGACAGCCAGCAACCAGTGGCTGTAAAGAAACAACAAAAATTGTGATCACTCATGTTTTACAACATATACCCTGAATGATCTTAAAGAAATCTCAGATACACTTCAATAAACTGTTATACCTACCCAGTATCACCCAATCCATGAAGAAATATGACCTAAAATTTAAAAAGAGACAGAACTTAGGAGTTGTCTGATATCCGTTAAAAAGACATGAAGGAAAATAAATTGTTATGACACATTAGAAAGCCACAGGCTGCAGAGTCTATGCCAGGGGGGATACACCTCTGGCCTGTGGGCTGGATCTAGACAGAGCCATGTTGCCCTTGGTGGCAGGGGAGCAATAGCAGTGTTAACACTGTTAATTGCTCTCAGAGCTGGGGCAATTAATGCTGCGCCACTCTCCTGCCACCATATATTCAGCTCTGCAGGGAGTCCAGCCAGCTGGACTACATGGCCTGGCAAGCCCCAGTGCACCAGCACACAGTCATACCACAGCCTAATCTAGCACATGGCCTTTCACTGGGCCCCAAATGCAGACTGATGCAGTGCTCAGCCTTCACACTGGATCTGGCCCACGGACAGGCCCCAAACTGCTCAGCTACCAAGCCTGGACCCGTGGTTCTCAACCTTTTCTGACTTTGGTGCCCTTTGGAAAATACCAGCTCGTCGTTTTCCCCCCTGAGAGCAGAAAAATCGCAGAGCCACGCACGAGGGCAAAGGGCTCGGAAGACCTGACGGGGCAGAACGGTTCGGGATCGGGCACTACCGGCTCCTGCTCCGACGCTCTGGGCTCGGTCTTGTGAACGCGTAAACAGCCCAGGGCCAGACAGCTCACACACAGGGCAGGGATCCTATAACAAGCAGTCTGTTTGAAACCAGACAAAAAGGTCCTTCCTTCTCACTCCTGTTTTCCCCGCTACAAAAATAACCGAGCCCTCCGGAAGTGGCGGGCTGCGGATCCCTGTTCCAGTTCTCCACGCTTCATCTAAGGGCAACGTGTCTCAACCCATGGGCCGTGACCCAAAAGTGGGTCGCAAGAATATATGAAAGGGTCGTGAAGAAGCCAGGAGCGAGGGAGAGAGGGAAGGGCGGGTGG